GTGTATAATTTTAGGTTAGATTTAATCTAATCTTGATTATTGCTTTAAGGAAAGATTGATTTAATATTAAACTTTCATTAAATCTATATATTACCATATCATAGAAATCATGTGATATAATTATATACTTATCGTGTTATAATAATTTAATTTTGGGTAAGTTCAATTCGTACCTTGTAAATTATTTTACATTAGTAAAGCACAAAATCAAGAAACGAACGGCAGCTTTGAGAAAGTATACGAGCAGTCGGTGGACCAGCAGCTACACGTTTTGCCATTCTCTAGCAAGTTCAACAAGCTACCTGCTTTATTGATAATCTCATAGCAGAACAACCGTGAAAAATCTGTCAAGTTCAATGACCTAGTAGCCACACATTCTATCATCTTTTAGCAAAGACGATCATACTCATGCCTTATCGAATACTTTCAAAGCCTGCTTTAAGAAACCAGAATTCCCAACGGGGAACCTGCAACAATGAGTTCCGCCATATTTCAGCAAGTTCACTCGGTGCCATGCATTATTGAATATCTTATAGCAAAATTGTGTTCTTCAACCGTACTTGAAGAAAACATATTAGAGTGTAAATGTTCAATCCAATTCAAAGATCAAGTTGTTTGACATAAGTTAAGATTATGATTCTTTATCCAAGTAGTAGTTGCAACCGAGTACAATAGTGAAGAGGCAATAAAATCAAGATCGGAGGGTTTAATTTCACTTCTACAACTAGTCAAAAGAAGAAGAAAACTGGAGAGCTATTCTTGGATTTCTTTTCATTGTTTTTTTGTTAATTTTACAAAATTACAAAATCAAGATTATTATATTTCTCATCGTTTGATTTAATTGATTAATTTACCCGTGACATAGGAGTCTGTAGATATTTCCCGTTAGAGTTTATCACATTATACCTGGTGGAGTTATTCCCTAAGTAAAGGGAATAACTCACAGAATTTATACTGTGGCAGCATCCTCTGCATGTGTGTTTGTGTTTTTTTTTTGTAACTGTGAATCTGTGTCGTCGATTTCAAATTTTTGTACCAATTCTATTGAATAAATAATGATGATATCAATAGCTGAGTGAAATTATCGATTCCAAGGGTCCCTTGAATCCATGGAAATGTCAATGCATACACTTTGTATTCTCCTATGAACTTAAAGCAAAAATAAACACAAATATTGCTCAAAAGAAAACAATAATTTTCGAAAGAATAGATATGACCTTTCTCTTCGTACTTAAAACTCATACGACCAAATAGCTTGAGGATTGAATCCAGACGATTAAAGAAGTAAAAACACAAAAATAATTTTGGAACTAGCTCGATGCCAGTGTACTCGGCCAAGACATGCTAGTACTGGTTTTACAATATAGATAGATGTTGGATGCATAAATGTTATAAAGATTCTTTCTGATACCATAGCATTTGCATGACAAG